TTGAGCCAATGAAAAATAAATAACTTGCCCTAAACAATATTTTCTATGTATATGAAAACTATTTTGATAAAACCTGGCATTTGTTTAATTGCATGAATGAAACATTTTTTCAGTGTAATTTCAAAGTTAAATCTATATCAGTTGTTTTATTTTTCCAATTTGTTAAACTAAAAAATTAAGAAAAAAGCAAAAAAATAAAGGAACATTCATGCAATTTTCTGTTTTATTTTAATTCAATTCCAAATGTTAATTTAAAAACACAACAAAACATGAATTAATTTCTCCATAAAACATGAAAAAAAATTGTTTAACAAACTAACATAAAACAGTTTATCTCAGAATCACAACAAACGGCATCAAAACTATATGGTTTTATTCCACTCTGAGTTCACAATATTGGCAGTACTGAACTTTAGATGCTAACTCACCTTTTCCGAGATTGAGCATTACCTGCTGAATAAAATATAAAGTGCTTTTCATACACAGTCCAGGTGCAGAGCATAAATCAGTCTGAAAAAATGGACACAGAAGGCCTGAGATTGGTCGGTTCATCCATTACAAAGTTTTCTTCCATATGATTCCCACTCTAGATTGGTTAGCGGTGGACTTGCATGATCAACGCTGAGGATTCTTACTGGAGTCTGTCTTCTCAGCTGCATCCTAACAGAGGAAGAAACAGATCGATAAAGACATTATCAAGTCAGTTAGATAATGCTGTTGTCAAATACTCAAGATCATATGCTGCGTTCACACCATGTTCTGAATAGAGCTGTTCATGTCCTTGGACCGGGAACTGTGCGTTTCTATGGCAACACTGTCATGCCTAAATTAATCTGCAGCAGTCAGGTACAGTGGTCACGTGGTACAAGCAGAAGCTCTCCGAAAATTCCCAGATTACAGATGGTAATTATAAGGACATTCATTTTTTCCCAAGTTGGAATCTTGTAATTATGGCTAATACAACATGGGATGAATGCACTTATACATACCTGGTTTACTGTAAAAAGAGCTGGCCTTTGGGTGATGTCTGGCTTGTCGTTGACAACTTTTCTGTGAAGAGCAAACATTAAAGTTACAGTCTTTATAAGGGCATCTGACTTAAAGGTTTACATTTAATTGTGCAGTGTGCCAGTCAATAAAGTGATCCTCCTCAGAACAGGTCTCAGTTAACCCACATGACATATAGTGGTGGGAATCACCAGAGGCCTCACGATACAATATTATCACAATACAATATTATTGCGATTTTAAATATATTGCGATTCTTCTATTCCTTCTAAACTTCTCAATTTTTTGAGTACATTACAGCAGATTGATTTTTCTTATGTAGGGCTGCAAAGTAACTTTTAAGGTGGCTTGTTTAATTTGATGTGTATAGAATCAGAATCATATTATGAAATGATTCTGGCAATCTAGTTTCCTACTCTTTATCAGCACAGAAATGCAAGTAGTTGTCAGGTTTGAATGAGTTTAGGAGCGCATCTGTTTTATAATGACTAGTCCCAAGATCTTTTAGGTTCACACATGTAGAATGCCGAATGATGTCGATTTTATTCATTATGAACAGATGAAACTTGAGGCAAATTGTTAATAGTTAACATTTGGTTAGAAAACAGCCAGTGGGTTATTCTTGTAACAGTTTATGATCTTTCACAGGGAATATGAGACAGATGCCACAATGACATCTAGATTTGGAAAAACATACAGCCGAAGAGGCGGCGATGGGACCTCCAAGTTTGACGAGGTGTTGTCCAATAAAAGAGCCACGCTCAGCACCAAATGGGGCGAGACGACTTACAAAGCCAAGGTTGGAGCAAAGAGGCCTGGTTTGAAGACCGAGGTGACCGATCAAACCAAGAGGTCCAAGGTCTCGGACGGTGATGGCTCAGAGGATCCATTTGGATTCGACAGTGATGACGAATCCAGGCCAGTCACATCTCGTAACGTAGCCCAGCCTAAACCCAAGGTGACGTCCATGGGGGGATCCCAGGCCAGTCTAACACTGGAGCCCAACAGCAGGGTGAACCAGCCCGCCAGTGTAGAGGCCGTGGCACCCAGCTGGGCCCCTTTTGCTCTCAGCACTGAGAGAAGTGCTCACAAAGTGCCAGAGGATCCTGGGAAATTTTTTAACACCTCTACTACAGGTATGTTTTTCCCTGAACAATTTCCCCCCCCTCAAAAAGTACATTGGTGTTGTGACGTTTAAACACTACCTGATTTGTTCCAGCATCCCCACATTAATCAGTTGTTGTTATATGCTGTCAAGTCACCTTTATTTGTGTAGCGCTTTATACAATACAGATCGTGTCAAAGCAGCTTTACAGTGTCAAACAGGAAAATAGTTTGTCAATAATGCAAGAAGACAATAACAAAGTGTCATTTTTCCAGCTGAAGTCAGTAAATGCTGTCAGAGTCTTTCAGGTGTTTGCCCTTTTTAACTTCAAGGGAAGCGAGTGTGTGCTTACCACATCGTATAAACCTGCCCTAGATAGTTTTTTTGTGGTCTTTTACTTGCCTGAAACATTTGAGCAAACAGCTTTAATTTACTGAACAAAGCCACATCTAAATATTTATTAAGTTTGACTTTGCAGTTCATGTTTAGCATTAAGTACATCATCAAAGTAAGGAAGCATATACATTATCATCACCAAAGTGATGTCACATATTAATTAGCATATTTATGACGTCATTGTGTCAGACAAGTTTTGGCACTTCAGATCTATTCTACTCTCTGAACTGTCACATACTGTAATACAACTGAATGCCCAATAAAACTGGTCCAATTTACATATTTTCTGTTGTCATAGAACAAATATAAACAGTGACTAAACACGACCCATTAATACTACATGTTAACCAGGAGTCACTCTCACTATACTCCTTAAAGGGGTCATATGATGCGATTTCAAGTTTTCCTTTCTCTTTGGAGTGTTACAAGCTCTTGGTGTATAAAGAAGATCTGAAAGTTGCAAAGACTAAAGTCTCAAATCCAAAGAGATATTCTTTATAAAAGTTCAGAGTCAGCCATGCCCCCCTAAAAGAGCTCGTTCTAACACGCCCCCACATATCTACATCACTATGTGGAAATATTAGCATAATGCCACCCAAATGTTCACTCAAAGAAAGAAGGCGTGGTTTCAGGAACAGCAGTAGTGTTGATGCAGCCATGTCAGGGAGACGCTGTGTGATTCAGTGCAAAAGCACTTTATTTGGCCTTCCGAAAGTAGATGCAATTAGGAATCATTGGTTAAGATTTATTTACAACAGAACAGCACAAACCAGATGTTCGAATTTGTGCAATGCATTTTATGGACGACCATAAAACAATTTTGAACCTAGAAGAGTACAAGGCTGGCTGTGCACAAAGGCTATTTCTAAAAAAAAAAATAAAAATGGTAAATTCCTACTTTGCTATGACAATCTGGCGCTTCTGAATCAACGACTGTAAGTATGTTTTGTTGCTAGTGTAAGTATTTGCTATTGACTGTTCAAATGCGGATTTTTGCGCAGCGCAGAGTAACGCGTCGTGTGTGTGTGTGTGAGGGGAACAGGGTCACATCA